ATATATATATATATATATATATATATATATATGTACATAGATTGGTAGGCATGCTCGTTCGTTCGTTCGTTCGTTCGTCGAGAACGAGCTTTAGATAGTCGGATAGTGTAGTAGTAGTAGTAGTAGTAATAGGATTCTCAAAGTGTTTTCGATGCTTAATTACCGAGTTGTCCGTTCCGTTACGGTTCTCTCGCGATGTTGTAAACTTTATCTCGGTGAAAAATACGCGGCGTGGCGTGGAAACGACGATCGGTAGCGACGACACGATCCGCCGCGTAACGAGGTAATCGATCATCGAGTCGCGATCGCGATCGTGGATTTCGCGATTCCACGTTCTCGTCGAACATGGCCGGCTCGTACGATTTCACCCGCGACGACGGTTAGATGCCCGTCCACGATACCCGTCCCGAACGCGAGAAGAAACTTTAAACTGTCGTCGTAAAAGCGGCTCCGGTTAAAGGGTTCATTATCGTTCGCGTCTCGATTTTTCTCGATTTCAGACGATTCGTATCCAACACCGGTGCTACCACGCTGCAAATTACCTTCCGCTTTGAATTTTACGAGCTCTCTCTGGTCGCGTTAACCCCCAATTACCTCGATCGATCGATCCCACTTAATCGACCGACGAAAGTAAAACTCAATCGAGATATACGCGGTGTGTGTCGTTTCCGTTGCGATCTATCCAGACCGAAAGATAGCGAAAGATTGAAATCTCCAAGAGATTCCAAAACGTTTTCGTTTCCTCGATCATTCACGGTCGATTAATTCGCATACGTGGATTTCGTTTCAGGTGCGGGCTACGGATCCGGATTGCGGCGTGAACGCCATGGTGAATTACACGCTAGCCGCGGGAAGAATGGAAAGCGAGCAGTTGATGGTGCGCAGCGATACCGGAGACATTTGCGTCAGGACACCGTTGGACAGGGAAACCGCTCCCTACCTAGAGATTCCCGTCATCGCTACCGATCGAGGTATGTATACATATATATATATATATATATATGCACTCGCGTAACAATATTCGATTTCATTCGCGACGTTACTTTACTTTTCTTCGAGAAACGCAAGAACAAAGTGTGGAAAGAAAGAAAGTTTCGGCCGACGCCTGTATCGATTTCGCTTCGCCTCGGTAACGAATCTTTCGTGACCGAAATAGGGAGGGAGGGAGGGAGGGAAGGATAAATAAAGAAAAGGATGGCGATGCTTTATCTCGATTGTCGCGAGGGAGAAAGCGAGGGAGAAGAAAGCAGCGCGATGGCGTGTGGACGGAACCAGGAAGAGGAGAAGCAACGAAGGAGCCGAGAGAAGAGCGAGAGCTATCGCCATCCCGAGATCTAGCAGCTCTGTAATGGGGTGTATGATTTATGTCGTCGATGTAGCGGTGGTGGTGCGCCCATTTTCAACAGCGGCCTCCTTCCACCCGAGCGAGGACAATGACTGAAGCCCATTCAGATCCGTCCAACAGGTAGCGAGCGACCGATTCGATGAGCGCGTGGCGATCGTGGCGAATTAACGGGGAGAATTAATTGGGCGGCGAAAGACGGAAGAGAAAGGAAAGGAAAGGGGGAGTTCTCTATTGTTGGCCGTTTTGCAAACAGGAGAGAAACCCCTCGTCGTGATTGTCGCTCGTTATCGATACCATCGATTCGCCGCGCTGTATCGGACGACAACGAGGCTCGCCACCTCTCCTTCTTGCGATTTATTGACGCGCCTGTTGACGATTCCTCCCAACCTGTGCCCTCCTCCCCCGTCGAATCGTAATTTTTACGAGCTCGATTACGTTCCTCCTTACGTTATCGAGATCCGTCGATACCGAGTTACACAAAGAGGAACGATAATCGAAACGCGGCGCGTTATCGAGTTAATGGTGTCGGATAACGGCGAAGAATACGATAATTATTATACCGCGAGTATAGCTCCGCTTTGAATCGAGCTAGAGATCCGCTCGTACGGCCGGATAATACGCTTCCTCCAGTCGAGTGGAATTCTTGCTCGAGTTCTTTGTACGATCGACTGGATCCTCTCCCCGGGGGATAACGAATTTCACGCTAATAACGCTAATAATAAATTTAAAGAGAGAGGAATTTTCTCTTTCTCTCGTTTTCGTTCTCGTCTCGAGAGAACGAACGGAACGATTGCACCCCCGTCTTAAACGACGGTTCACGAGATAGAGAAATAGAGAGGCGAGGTGGATTTCGATAGCTGGAAGGTACGGTGGAGGAAGAAAAGGATCGTTCTTTTCGGTCGAGTCGGAAGGAAGGAAGGAAGGAAGGAAGGAAGGATGAAAGGAGAAGAGAGAGAGAGAGAGAGGAGCAACGGTGGGGACTGGCCCTTGACGCATGACTCCAATGACACTCGTACCTATAAATCTCGCTGCGCTCCGAGGTCCGCGCGGTCGAGTCCATATATTACTATGAGTTACGGGTGTAAACCGTTTAAACATCGGATTACCCGTTTTACATACTGTCTTTAATATTAACACTTGCGCCGGGTCGGTGCGGGCCTAAATCAGCCCGGCCAACCAGGAGTCCGCGTTATCGCGTCCGCGCCTCTTCCCCCTCCCCCTCCCCCGCCGATTAATTAATCTCTCCTAGTTCGCCTTCTCCCTCTCGGTCGAGGAGGTGGTTACGGTGGCGTTTCGACGAATAACGTGATTTACGAATAGCGATCGAGGGGAGCCGTTATTACTTTCCGTCCGATCGTATATCACTTGGTACTACGTAGGAAGGGAGAGGGGCGATACTTTAACGGCCGAACGAATTATCTATCAGCCCGTGTTTCTTCTTTTTTTTTTTTTTTGCATTCTTTTCGATCCGCGGAAGGCGTACTATCGTATCGATCGATACGATATATCCGTTCGCGATAATCGGTGGAAAAGCGGAGAGGGAGAGAAAGGGAGGGTTGAGAAATCCGCTAACCCTCGAGAAATTCCTCTCGTTTGAAATATTATAAGCCAGGGTGGAGAAGCGTGGCCCGGCCTTCTCGACACGCGCTTCTTTCCTCGGGAATAAAACGGAGAGGAGACGCGCGAGAGAAGAGGCAAGGAATCGGAGGAGGAGGAGGTGGGGGAAGGCTGATTGGCCGGGGGAAAAAAAGGTGGTGGTGATTTATGTCGACCGGCTCTCCCTCCGTCCCCGTAGATTCGTTTCTCTACGCCGGCTAATACTCCGACGTTATTTGGCTCGATAAGAGGATTTCACCGAGGAGGAATAAGAGGAAGCATAATCGGTCGGATTCGCGCGAGTTCCATTGGCGAGCGTTCCATTCCCGACCAAACGCTATATATAAACGTTTTTTTTTTTTCTCTCTCTCTCCATATCCCTGGTTCTCCCACGCGTTCTCACGTTGGAAATGTTGCATGGTTGCAGGGGGTCTGAGCACAGTGGCGATCGTGAGGGTGCAAGTGACCGACGTGAACGACAACCGGCCGATCTTCGAGCCGAGAAGATACAACGCGACGTTGAAGGCCGACAACACGATCCAAGGGGCAATTTTGAGGGTCGTGGCCACGGATCTGGACGCGGGATTGTTCGGCCAAGTGGCGTACAGGATCACGAGCGGGAACGAGGCGGGCGTGTTCCAGATCGATCGTAACACGGGCGAGGTGGAAGTGGCGAGGCCCGCGTTCCTCTCCAGGTCGCCCCTCCATCAATTGAACGTAACGGCAACGGACGCGGCCGGGTTGAAGAGCATGCTCGACGCTGAAATCAGAATCACCGCATCCTCCCCCGGGCACAGAATCGCCAGCTGCGAGAAACCCCGCTACACCATCACCGTTAAGGAGACCGTTCCACAGAACAGCGTGGTCGGCGGGGTGAAGGACGGAGCCTCGTCGGGTAAGTTGAAAAAGGAATGAAGTTTAAAAACAAATCTTCCTTTTTTCCGCGTCGAAAACGAACGGCTCGTTCGAAATCGAACGGCCGGGGTGAAAGCGGATTCGTTGCTTGCTCGAAAACGTATTCCACGCGCGGCGTTAGCATAGTCGCGTCACGAGAAAACGGCGGCGACGTACCAACGAACGCCCACGTGTTTCTCGTATACTCGTCTCTTTCTTTCTTTCTTTCTTCCATCGTTGGAAGAAAGAAGCAGAGGCGCGTAAATCATAGAGAGGGTGGGTGTCGCTGGATATCTGGAGAGAAGATGGGACAGACGCGTAGAATTTGGCGAGAAGGTGGAATCGAGGCGGATGAAGGAAGGGAGAGGGAAAGAGGGTAAGGTCGTGGACGGCGGGGACGAGTGGGTTGGTCGATTCTCGGAGGGTTAGGGGAGAGGTACGTATCCGTGTTTCCACACTGGTGGTACATCCGATGCAAGATACGGCGCGTCACGACCTGCGCTCGCCGCGCCATATACCCGATGCACCGTGTAAAGTGTCTCGTGGCGTATCGACCGCCACGGCTCGCCACGTTATACGCTCGAGGATGGTGAATAGTTTACACGATGGTGCCTTACCGGTGGTCGTATTGTTCGCCCGCCATGGCCCGCATATGCAGCCTGTTGCATATCAATGCGCCAACCTCGAGTACGTTCCTTCCTTCGTCGAGGAGCGACGACGTCGTGCCTCGCGCTCCTCTCTCTCTCTCTCTCTCTCTCTCCTCCTCCTCGTTCGCTTCGATCTCTTCTTTTGCGTTCTTTGCGGAAAAGAGAGAGCGAGAGCGAGAGAGAGAGAGAGAGAGAGAGAGAGCGAGTGAAAAAATGCCAGCGAATAAGCGCGGCGTGTATATAGATTTTTCGAGTGGAGTTTGCAGAGGTTTCCCCGTATCGATTCGATCGATTTCGATCCGATCGGCCACGCGTCCGATCGAGAACCTGTTCGCGCACGGGGGAAGATCGAGGTCTGGCATTCGGGCCCACAATATTTGACACACGGCAGCCAATCAGATTATCAGATTAAAGTCGGACGAGCGGCGGCGATCGTGGTCGGCGGCACAGGTGCGATTCGGTTTTGCGAGACGGCCGCGTCTCTTTCTTTCGCGACACCTGGTAGGGTGGGTCTCTAAACGTGGTCCACGAGGAGGAGGATCGTTTCTTCGTTTCTCTTGCTCGCCTTCGACCGGGCCGCATATGGATATTTGCATAAAATTCACCGCGCGGACATTAACGCGCCGAAATTCATTAATTTCGTATTTATTACGGGACATGGTATCGCGTTATCGAATTGCCGGCGAAAGGCAGCGCGAGAGGTGATTATCGCCTCTTTACGAGCACCTGTTTCGATAAGGATGCTCGCCTGTTTCTTGAAATATACGAAAAACAATGGTGGCCGTTGTGCGATCGGGCGAAGAAGCGAGGGGGGCCGTTGAAAAAGGCGACGTGGCCCGACTTCTTATTGGGCAGAGATTCGGGCCCAAGAAGGGGGAAGAGGGGACAATCGTAGCGCGATCCTTCCTTCCTTCCTTCCATAAAATCTGGCGACAAAGTGAGGGACGCGCTTCATTTTACGGCCGAGTTTATGGTACCTGGCAGAGAGAATCATCGACTCGTGATCGAGTCGACTAAAGAGGGAGGAGGAGGGGACCGGCCGCTTATCTTATCCGCGGAACGACCGGCCGCTCCCAACTTTTCTCGGCTTTTCGATGTCTCTCGTCATAGGGAGAGGAGGGCGTTTACGCGTTTGGGCGATCGCGGAGAATAAAAATCGGAGAAACGAGGGGCCGAATCGCGAGGGAACGGTTGGAATTTTCGTAAAAGTTTCGAGAGAGAGTTACGTCAAGCCGGGCAAAACCGGTAAAACATCTACGGTTGAGTTTCGTTTGAACCGATCGATCGAATTTCTTCGCTACGTAACAATCTTCGATTCGTAGCTCGAAGAATTCTCTCGTGTTCGAGAGAATGGGCATCGAATGGTGGCGCGAGACCAAGGAAGGAAGAAAAGGAAGGAGAAGATGGAGAAGGAGAGAACCGTCGTCGTCGTCGTCGTCGTCGTCGTCGTCGTCGTCGAGGTCGCATAAATCGTCGGATACCGGGCAGCCGAACGCCATTGTCCCAGACTTTTCTTCTCTCTCTCTCTCTCTCTCTCTCTGCCTCCCTCCTCCCTTTCTTTCTTCGCGAAGAAGAGAATCGCTGTTATGGAGGTGCACTCTTTGCATACGCTTTAAATATCACCGCTCCGTTCGCTTTGAGGAGTATATCCAATACCGTGTCTTTCCCTCTTCTGTCCTTGTTTTCGAAGGTTTCGAAGGGATGCCGCAGGAACTTGCAAGGGAACTCTTGTCTCTCGTTTCTTTTTTTTTTTCTTTTCTTTTTTTGCCGCTGAAACGTTGCATCGATTTTCGCCACGGATCGAATCGTACGGGATTGAATCTCGGATACTCGATCGACCTTGGAAAAGCGATCTCGAGAGAAAGAGTAGGAGGGGGAGGAGGCGGATTAATCTTATCCGCGCGGCACGTCGTTAGTCTTTAACGAATTTAACGACGACATTACGACGTAGAAACGAACGGGCAATGGTATTTTTTTAAGGTGTCTATAAAGATACAGGGATCCATAATTCGGAGACCGTTTTGGAGGACCGTCACGATCTCGGCCGAAAGTTTTATAATGGTTGTTTCGACGACCGAATATTCCGAGGACGATAGAGCGTCGAGAGAAAGAAGAAAAGAAGGGAGAAAGAAATTCGAGGAACTCCGTTTCCTTCGCTTCGATCTTGTTCCTTCCCCTCGGTACGTGCTTTTCGCCGGACTTGCAAATTTCGGATCGTCTCCATGCTGCGAGTTTGCATCCCGACCTAAACCGAGATCCGCGCGGAAAGATAGCGCGAAAGGATCCGTGAAAGAAGAACGAACGCTTCCTCCCACTCCTATTTCCCCCTCGCTCTATTATTCGACGAAAGGAAATTCCTCTATATCCTCCCGTGGATAAAAATCGTTGGATGAAATTTCGTTTGATCGAGATCAAGAAGCGAGGGAATGCGTAGTATATTCGTATTCGTAGGAGAGAAAAGAAGGCGAGGAAACTTTCTTCCTGCTCGGTGTCGTCGAGGCGATACGGATAAATCGAGTGGAACGGCGAGTTACAGGAGCGAGGGACAGGGAAAGCGTATCCTTTAGGCGGGGAGGGGCGAGGGGGGAGGAGGGGGGAGGGTCGTTTCGAATCGGTCGGAAAAGTGGACGCTGCAGAAATGGTGCAGCGATGGTGGCGCGGACAGGTCCGCGTGTAAACGGTTCCCCGCGCCCGTTCGTGGTGTGCGTGGTGCGCGAACATATAGATGCAGAGATAGAGGCGCGCTACGAGGCGCGATCCCCTTCTCGTGCCACGTTCAGCCTATGATGCGCCTTCTCCACTCTTATCTCGCGCCTCGTTATCGCCGTTTACCATCTCACGGTCTAGAGGAGCCTCTCCTCTCTCTGTCTCTCCCTCTGCGATCTCTCGGTGCACGTGCGCGTCCATACGTCTTTTTCTCGCTCCTTCCCCTTCGATCGCCTTTTCCTTCCTTCCCCTCCTCCGTCGCCACAACAACAAAGGAACAAGGAGAAATCCAAGGATGGATAAAAATGTTTTCCTTCTTCTTCTTCTTCTTCTTCTCCTCTCTTCGTCTCGAGTTTCGAATTTGGAGAAGAAGCTGTCTCGCTAGCTGTCTAATTTGTCCGATAGTTTTCCTTCGAAACGCGTGGATGGAACGGACGCGGAGGATGTATAGCCGGGTAAGGATATGGTAACGCAACTGGTAGCTAATGTCATTTTATTTTCGCTCGGTTGCAAGCTACGCAACCTTATTGTCGCCGTCCATTGTCTTGTCGTTCTTGCCGCCCTTCGTCTCTAAACCTTTTCTTCTCCTCCTCCTCCTCCTTCTTCTTTCCCTCCGTGTACACTCGTCGGCCATTTAGCCGCATCCGCGGACCGAGACGTTTTACGCGTGTACGAAGCCCTATTCGTTTGTTTACCGGTCTCGATGCTCGCATTTCTTGCGCTATTGTGCGCCGCGAACACGCTCGCTCCTACTTGCCGCGGCGTGCTAACCGGGGGGAGCAAACGTATAATCGCTCGATTCCAAACCTCGATCCCTGGAGGAGGGGAGATCGAAAGAAAATTTTCGTCGAATAATCTTGGAATTTTTGATCCGATGCATGCAGATACGTGCAAGGGAGGGGGAAGGGAGCGCGAAAGAGAGGAGGAGAAGAGGAGGTTGGAGAGGGGAGAGAGAGAGAGAGAGAGAGAGAGAAAGGAAGAAACGAGACCCCCGTCAACGACAACATACCTTCGCCACGGTATCGTTTCTTCACCGCATTCGTCGCGTTGCTCGACGGCTACCACGGCTCACGGCTAATCATCATTATTTAATTACGAGGTCGTTTTTCGTTTAGACGGAGCGCGGAGTGTCGGCGGCGATTCGTGGAGGCACGTCCTCCCCCCCCCCTCCCCCCGCCCCGAGCATCGGCGAGGGCATTAGTGTCCGCCCGTCCGTCCGACCACGATTTTCGGATAAATTCGTTTTACGAGGCCGTTCTCTCGCACGATTCGGAACTCGGGTGTAACGCGGGGGCGGGCGAGGAAACGATTTTACGATTTCTCGAAGCGGTTGGAAGCGGAGGATGATGGATCGGAAACGGGATCGAAAGAGACGGCGACCTCTCGCGTATCGTTCCCTCCAATTAAACGAACGGCGGGTATTCGATTCGTTTTTGCCAGCTATCCGGCCGATCGTGGCCGAGCCTATTACCGCGCCTAAACCTCGCCCAATTAAAAATCCCACCAATTTATGCAAACGATCGGCCTTTCACGATCGGCCGCCGACCAGATCCGAAATGGATCGCGCGAGAAACGTGTGGGGGATATCCCGAATATACGGAAAGTACGACGATGGCCCGCGCAAAGGCAGTGGTCATCGACGGCCCTGGTGGACCGACCTCGAGTGGGATGGCCCCCGTTACGAGCTAATTAGCAAAATAAGAGAAACTCCGCGCGAGGTATATACCACGCTACGCCACAGCGCGCGCGCGAGAGAGAGAGAGAGAGGCAAGAGAACTCGTGCTTCCCTTATACGGCGTGATCGAATCGTCGGTCGCCGTAATTTATCGCGAGTTTTCTTTACCCGGAATGTTCCTCCACCTTGTGAAACTCGGTACACCGGTTTTTTTCTTTTTCCTTCTGCCTCGAGTTTCTTCTCCCCCTCTTCTTTCCCGACCAATCGGGCACCAATTAAACGATGCTTAGATCGATACCCTCCCCCTCCCGCGTTATTCGACTTCCCGTCGAAAATGGTATCGCGATCCGATTATGAACGAGCGGCCAACAAGGCCAACGCGTCCCTCTCCGTTTAATTACCGTTTCTAATTAATCGAAAACGCCAACCTTTTCTCAATTGTTTCCTCAATTGTTTCTCTCCTATAAAACGCGCCCCTAAATTGCCCGTTTCGGCGAACAAATTTTGGCCGAGAACTCGGTCGTGGAGATTTTCGAGCGAAAAAGAGATCGGTTCCCCTCCCCCGAGCTTTGTTCACGGTTCAACGCCACGGTTCGCGCGAGGGTGGATCGAGGGCGTAGGTTCGTGGCTAAAAGAAGGGAAGGGAGTCAAGGAACTGGAAACGAATTCCATTCCCGCGAAGAAACGGAAAAGATGAAAAGGGTCGGAAAAGGATAAACGGTAGATAAACAAGAGAGGGATTATTCGAAGTTCGTAGCGGTTTGCACGGTCGCTCGAGGCCACGACGTTGTTGTTGTTGTTGTTGTTGTTACACGTGGATATATTCTAGTATCGTTGATCGTGCGCACGAACGAAAGTCGAGAGAGAGAGAGAGAGAGGCGAGAATCAATAACAGAGTACGTTATACGGGTCGGATCGGGCGCAAAAACTCGCTCTCGATTCGATCCACGAAGTTGGAAGACGTTGGAACGGGCGCGAAAAGGAAGAGGAGAGAAAGAAGAGGGAGATGCGGAGGTGAGAGGTGGAAGGGAAGAGCGGGCCGTGGATCTCTGCGAATTAATCAAATACGCGAGCGATTTGTCTTCGTTACACCCACGTGGACACCCCGGAGGGACGTCTGTGTAACCGGGGTGACGAAGCCCCTTTCGACTCGGCACCGCGGGTGAAAAACCCGTTCGTCCGACTCGGTTGGTCGTGCGCTTCGATTCTCCCGATCCTACTTTCGATCTCGGTGGCGGGGGTGGAGCGACGTCTCGCCTCGGCGAAAAATAGTCGTAGCGGAACGGTGGAACGAACGAAACGTTCCCTCGAAACGGAACGGGGATTATTAAACGGAGGGGAGGGGAGCGATCCTTTCGGACACGATTCACCCGTATCGTAATTATATACGGAGATACGGTGGATCCTCCTCTCGCGGCGAGACTCGATGGAAAAAGATCACGCGGACGTTTAATAACACGTAGGGGAATGCCGATGGGTGTAGCGGATGGTAGTAGCGTCCGTGTCCTACCATCCTCGTCCTCCCTTCTTCCACCTTGTGTTCGTACGCGCGCCGCTTTCACCGATACGCTGCTACTTTACAATTACACTTTACGATGCGCAATTTCGTACAAACTCGCTTACGTTTGCGGGCGCGCGCGCACGTCGGAGGATATTCTTCGAAGCAACGCGAGTGCACGTACGCGAGCCGCATTTACATGTGGCGCAGCAATTTTAATAACACGGCTATCGAGTGGCGGTAAGCATAAGTTTCGCTCGAGCGTCTCTCTGTTTTTTTTTTCTCCGGATCGATATCGATCCGTGGTTACGTCGTGGCTTCGCTAGCCTAACGTTCTCTTCTCGTCCAGTCTTTTTTTTTTTTACGTTATCGCGTCGAGAGAAATTTTTTAATCGTGACGTTTTCCATTTTTCCGTGGATTTATCGAGGGGATAGAGAGGATTATTAGAAAGGGAGCGAAATGTGGAATGGTTATATAAATAGGGATCCATAAATTATGCGATCCACGTACGCGACCGAGTACCATCTTTAAGGCCAATGTCGTTCCACTCGTCTCGCCTATACTCTCCTGCCGGATATCGTGGAAATGGTGAACAGCTCTCTCTCTCTCTCTCTCTCTCTCTGTCTCGTCGCGTCTACCTTCCACGTAAACCGACGGAGGCGGTGCTTATTCCCCGTCTACCAGGTTTTTCCTTCGCGTCCACGGGATAGGGGGAAGGGAAAAACTCGATCGGTTCCATGGGAGAGACGATCGCGACGCGGTAGATCGCCGCCGTTTGACGAAACCTAGGCCAGAACGGATTGTATGCCTACTACTCGGACTCCCGTTTTGGATCCAAGTGCGATCGATCGATCCGAGCAATTATCTGGCCGAGAGAGAGAGAGAGAGAGAGAAAAGGAAAAACTTGAAAACGTTTCGTATATACGAGTCGAGTTGGACTCGAGTTGGGCAGGTCGCGTCTGGGGGCAGGTTCGATACAATACAAAGGGGAAAAAATGGAATATCCGTGGAGAGAACGCAATAGGGGCGAGCTCGAAACGAAATGTCACGAACGAAAGGTATTGGCACGAGACAAAGGCTTCGTAACGGTTGTTTGGATAGGACGGGCGAAGACGATCTAGAAGTCGAACGCGAGAACAATACCACGTGGGAGAACCCCACGTGGAACCCCATCCCTGTGGCTGTTGGCACGTGGAACGTGGGCGGACAGGAACTCGTTACGCGGGAAACGTGCCTCCCTCGTCCGATTTCACGCGTCTGCTTTCCTCGTCTCGTTCGCGAATTCGAATCCGTCCGAAGATTTTCGCACGAAAGGAAGAGGGAGGAAAGGAAGGAAACGCGTACGTACGTGAGAACGAGTTGTAATTAACGAGCAGCTCGCCTCTTATATATCGGTGTATATCCGAATAATCCTTTTCGTCATTTTTGCGCTCTTCCCCTCTTCGTTTCCCCCTCTTTCTCCCTTTCAAAGAGAAGACGAAGAGACGAGGAACGCTCTCGGTTCGTTCGCCGAGGTCGAGGGGAAAAAAAAAAAAATTAATACGAGGTTCGCATCGGCCATCGCATCGCCCTTTTTCTTCCCCCCCTCCTCTCTCGAAACGATCGTTATTATATATATATATATATGGAAGAAAGAGAGAAAAGTAGAAGAAGAAAAAGCCACTTTGTAGCGATTTAACGAGGATATATAATAATAACCGTGTTGTTGTTCGCAGGTGAACGGCCAACCAGATTTTATTTGGCGAAGGAAGAACCGGATCTAAGCATGGACCCCGTCACGGGTATGATTCGAATTCGCGTCCCGTTGGACCGAGAAACGCGGGACAAGTATATTCTGAGCGTGGAGGCGCGAAATGGAGTCTCGACGGGCTACTGTCAGGTGAGAATCGAATCTCTCGAAAGAGAGAAACGAATATCGGGGCGAAAACTTATTATTCTTGTATCTCTGCGGTTGGCGCGCAGGTGGAGCTGAACGTGGAGGACGTGAACGACAACGGGCCGACGTTCCCGGCGAGCAGCGTCCGAATTTCCGTTGCGGAATCGCATCCCCTTCACGCGCCCCTCTACGTGGCGCACGCCGTCGATCCGGACGTGGTCCCGCCCCACCCGATCCGCTACGCGCTCGGCCAGAACAGCAACGACCTGTTCGGGATAGACGCCCGCTCAGGCGAGCTCTATCTGTCCAGGAGATTGGATTACGAGACGCAGCAACGGCACGGCCTTCTGATAAGGGCGGTGGACGGTGGCGGCCTCACCGCCAACCTCAGCCTCAGCGTCGAGGTGCAGGACGTGAATGACAACCCCCCGGTGTTCGAGAGGAACGAGTATCACGTGGAGGTTCCCGAAGGCGCCAAGCTCGATTCCCAAGTGAGAAAAATCTTCATTACACGCCCGTCACGCGGCCATTTGTTCGCCGAGGAGACGCGCGGTAGGATCGGAAATACACGGAGGGAGGGAAGGGAGAAATTCTGGATCGGTCGAGGGAGAAACCACCTCTCTTCTCCTTTCCCCCCCTCCTTTTTCCATTCGTTTTCGAATTCGTCTTCGCCGAGGCGGAGGATAATTTCATCCGGCGGGATCGCTCCAACCTTCTCCTCCTCCTCCTCCTCCTCCTCCTCCTCTTCCTCTCCCTCGATTAGTAGACCGGCCGCGAGTGAATTGGGGGGGGGGGGGGGGAGGGAAGGGAAGGGAAAGAAGAGAAAGAAGAGGAATCCAACCTCGTGATTTCGGGCGCGAACTGAAAATTTCTTCGATCGTTCTCGAGGGGTGAGGGGAAGAGCGATTAGCCGGGAGAAGCGCGCTCGTCGCGCTCTATCGAGGAGGCGGTTGAACGACGAGCACCGATTCCTCGCGGTGGTTGGTAGCCACCGGTGGACGTAATCCACGAATCCACGAGGAGGATACGAGGATGACGAATGGGCGAGAGATGGTTGCCGCGAGATAGGGCCGTTAAATGACGTCACATTTTTAATACACGAGGATACACGAGGTGGTACGATAGGAGGCCGCAACGAAGGGAGAACGAACCGCGCGTTCCTCTCCTTTTTCCTTCCTCCTCGCCTCTCGTTCGATCTCCATCTTTCTCCCGGCGTACACGTATATATCGGTGGTACCTATCGGCGAAACAGATCTGTGAGCTGTCGGTGGTATCCAGACGATATCTTACCCGACGACGAGGCGGAGCGACGAGGAGGGGACGAGAGGAGAAGGGGAGGGAGGGGGGAGAGAGAGAGAGAGCGAGCCCGGCTACAGTGAGCGTAACCCTTCACCCGCCGCGAACTAATAACGTACAGTTAGACACATTACTGCCTGCTCCCACGTCAGGTTCTTCTTCTAATGGTGGCCGATCTCTCTCCTCTCCCCTTCCCTCCCCCCTTCGGTGGCGGCACACACCGTTTCGTCCTCTTTCTCCTTCTCCCTTTCCCACCTCGTCGCCTTCTCTCCGTTGCTTCGCCATCCATCATTGCCCGTGCGCCAACTTCGTGCACGGGATACCAACTTATATATATATGTATGTATGTATGTATGTATACACCCTCTTCTTCTTCTTCTTCTTTCTCCTTCTTCCTTTGCTCGACCTCCGTAATTCACGATCCTCCCGCGCTGGAAAACATCGACCGGTTCGAACGCATTTAGGGTTCGCGGTGTTTCGATGCGTTTAATTAATACGGAAATACGGACCGGATAGACTGGTCTCTCTCTCTCTCTCTCTCCCTCCCCGCCGCTCACTTTTTTTCGTCGAGCCCTTTCTTTCTTCACGCGCGACATTTCGCCCGATTCGTTTCTGTTCGCAGATCCTCCAAGTGACCGCGGTCGACCTGGACACGGGTAATAACGCGAGGCTGAGTTACCGGCTCCAAGGATCGACGGCATTTCGAATCAGCCCGAACACGGGATGGATTTATCTGGCGCAGGCGCTCGATCGGGAGAGCTTGGACAGGCACGCGCTCACGGTTCTTGCGACCGACAACGGTTCCCCGGCCGCGACCGCGAGCACTTCCGTGCTGGTCACGGTGCTCGACGACAACGACAACGATCCCCGCTTCGAGAAGGAGTTTTACGGATTCGAGCTGCTGGAGAACTTGCCCTCGGGTACGCTGGTCGGATCCGTGAGCGCCTCCGATCCCGATCTCGGCAAGAACGCGCTGCTCAGGTACGCGGTGGTCCAGGCCAACAGCAGTTTCACCGTCGACCCCGATACAGGTAAGATCATCCTCCTTTCGCATCCCTACGTGTATATATATATATATATATATATATATATATGCTCGAGTGTT